TCAGAAAATGTTTTTTAATTGTCTGATAGTTTAGAAATCGACGATAATGTATATTTAAAGGGAGACATAATATAAAATGATAAAGAAGAGTTTCTTTTGATACATCAGCTCTAAAGTACTACATGTATATAACTCATCATGACCAGCTTAGGCATTTCTAGTTCCTTGCCAATTTCAAATAATGACGTGCCTGTGAGGGAGACCTACAGTTAGCTCGACCCTGCAAACTACCCTTAAGGACTCGCACAACTAAATAATTTATATATGTTATTACTAAACATTTTAGCTAATAACTTTAATATTTGAATTTCAACACCAGTGACGCCTGTTAAGCTTCATAGATACATACCTCACAAAGGCTACACAATGTTTGTTTTGGTAGGTTTAGTGGCATATTAGAGTGTCACAGCGTCTAGAAGTTGGCAACCGGATGTTTACAAGCAAAACTAGTGACTCAAAACAGAAACGCCCCAGACATTTTGCCCCTGTGCAAATCAATACGCAGACATGGAAATATATCAAAATATACATTTTTCAAAAGTTAAATACTTAAGTACATTTCATTCATTTAAAAGGCTGTCATCAATCCCTTATTACACTCCAGTGCTTGAGCCAATGCTAATGTTAAAACCAACCATGCAACCATAAAACAATGTTGGCTCAATGTAAGTATGCTATCTTGGAATAAGCTTGTGGCTTTTGATGTGCTGTAATAAGAGATTATTTTCTCGTTCATTCAATTATTGTGGTACAGTATTGTGTAAGGAATTGAAAACAAGTCAAAATGACGTGTAAAAATGAAGATTATTAAATTAAAAAGTAAATGAATAAGTATATCTTAAATGTATTCTCGCCCACGTTTACAACAAAGTCAGTTTTCATATGGAAAATGTCGTTTATTTTAACGAAACTTACATAATTATAAACAGTAAGGTACTTTTGCTCTTTATATCTGAAAACAACATGTTATTTACCTTTTTATTTCTAATAATATGAGAAAAATCGTAATTGTCACGGTTGAGTGCACCGTACAAGTTGTACCTCCTTGAAAAACACATTGTCAATTTCAAAATTATCAGACGACTTAAAGTTTGCATCCAAAGTGTCACTTTTAGAAAACGATTGTTTGGTTTAATTAAACTTTAAACAAATGAAAATAACGATCTCGTTGTTGAGAAATTACAATATTGCTATTTCATTGGTACGGGGATTTAGTCAATGGTCCGGGAACGGCGTTCACGATTTACCTTCCACCTTAATTGGGTCAACTATATGATAAACCAAATGATCCCGATGAAACAAACAAAGATGTGCGATTTGTATTGGGCTCGTTGAGATTGCGCAAATTACTGATCAGTTTAACGATTGCGTAGACTAGTTTGTCCTTTGTACTTAACATTAAATTAAGCCCAAACGATGCAGTTTAGTTGGCGCTCCATCCTTACATGTATCAACGCTTGACACACTGTTTACTATCAGCACTCATCATCACAGCACAGTAAAAACAGTAGGACGACAAATGGCTGTAGTAAAACATATTTCTGTTGAACAGGGGAATTTCTTACTTTTATCAGACAAACAAGGATCATAATTTCCTATCTAATTTTGTTGATTCGAGTGATGCATTTGAGTACTTGTGTGAGATAGTTCAGTTTTATACAGCCTAGTCAATATCGCCTTACTTGTGCTTTCGCTATCATCCTCCGAAAGAAATGGGTAGGTTGGTAGGCAGGCAATTCTTCTGACTTTGGAAAATGGTTTTACTATGCTTATATATAACAGGGGTTTTGGCTTAAACAGTGCATATCACTAAATTACAATGACAACTTTAGGGTAGGCACCAACATCTAGGGTAGGTATGGTAAGTGAATTTTTTTTTTTTTTTTTTGGCTTAAGTATAAATGTAGTTATGTCATTTCTGGTATCGTAAATGACCAAATAAATAGAAAGTGTATTCCTGCCAATATTAAGAGGTAACTTTTGTATTTATTTAACTACAAACCTGGCAATAAATATGAGGTCCGTGAAAATATATTAATAAACTGATGTTAATCAGCTAGATTTTGAAACGACCCCTCCGCAACTTTGACGATTCTTTGTTCGGTTTATTTATATATTTTTTTATTTATTATAAGGTAATACGTGATACACTGATGTTATAGAAGCAAATTCATACTTCTTGCTTCATTTCATTTCAACAAATGTTATTGACAAAGTTGATAAAAGTCAATTGGATGGAATAACAGGCAAAGCCTATATAAATTATCTCCAGTGGTGGCTAAATTAACGGACTCTATTATTTTTATTTGATTTAATTAATACATCAATTTTGAAATGAAAATTATGAAAAAAATACAATTTTAAATGGATGTAACTCCTTCTTAATTAACATAACTGAAATACAAATACATTCACACTTCTCACATCACACACAAAACACTTCCACATGTATTATTTATTTTTATAACTTTTTACAATTGTATATAAGCTATATAGCTATCAAATCACACAGATATTGGCAGACATTGATCAAAAGTCCATGTGCAAATTTATGCACAGGTCACAGTCGCCAAAACTGTTCAGTTCTTATAGTTTTATATGAAAATAGATAGCTAGTCTATGTGTAATTCAATGTATAAGATGGAAACTGTAAAACAAGACAGATTGAACAAATCTTACAACAAACAACAACAAACAAACATGCTCAACTTAAAACTCCGATGTCCGTAGAAGAATACCATTTATAGAAAAGTAGGTAAAGTTGCTTATTTGTGGAGTATAATTGAAATAGGAATAGTAAAGTATAAAAGTATAAAGTATAAGGTCATGGCTGGTTAGATCGTATAGAGTTTAAAACGCCTCGATTTACCAATAAATAACTGTACATCATTAAGTAACTGTCTGTTTGTTAGTCCATCACAATCAGGACAGCCTTGTAGAAAAATGTTTGTATCAATATGGTTATGTTTTCCATTATTATCAACATAAGTAAATAAAATAAGTCTGAGATCATTATACAATGGACATTCAAGAAAATAATGGAAAACTGTTTCATATTCAAAAGAGCAAGCACAAGAGGGACAGTCAGTTAAATGGTCATTAAATAAATCAAAATTTAAATTGCTACAGAAGTTTCTAAGTTGACAAAGAATAATATTGGCCCTTCTATCACCTTCAGTTTTAAAAATTAAGATTGATTCATTATCGATAATAATATCTTTATTCAGTTTGTGTTTAAAGGTTGCAAGAGTTGGGGAGTTTAAGATATCATTATCAGTAGTGTTAGTTTTGCGGCACATTAGAGGGAGGAAACTGTCAAAATAATTGTTAGTTCTGCATATTGGTGGATTAAACAGTCTTGTTTGTCTGAGGAAATAGGGATTATTGTTTTGATTGTTAATGAAAGGATGTAAGACATCTTGTAAGTATTGAGGTGACAGCCCATGCATTATTTTATACATCATTATGTGTTTGTGTTTCCCAACTAAGTTCATTATAAAGTTTATCATGAGATGTTCCAGATCGAAGTACAGTATTGATTCTGGCTGCTTCTAATTGAATAGATTATAGAAGTTCTTTAGATTGTTGAGTGCAATTATCCCATACTTTGTCTGCATATTCCTAAATTGGCCTAATAATTGCTATATAAATTTTAAATAATGATTTACGATTGACTTTAGTTTTAATGTAACGAAGAATATTTAATCTACTATAAGCTTTTTCATATATATTCAGAATGTGTTGTTTCCAAGATGCATCATCTTTTAAAGTCAGTCCTAAGTGTGTATGTGCTGTTGAGCCAGTGGTTTGGCTGTTTTGGAAAGTTATTGGAGGGTGATGTTTGTTATGTTTTCTAGAAAATATTACAGATTTAGTTTTGGTAGGGTTGAACTTGATGTCCCATATACCTGCCCATTCACCAATGTTAGAGAGATCATTTGTCAGAACTTGTGCTGCATGTGCTGGGTTTTCATCTATAATTACATATAAGGAGGTGTCATCTGCAAAAAGCTTAATATTAGTTGAAACATTGTCAGTGATGTCATTAATATAAAGGAGAAATAGTAAAGGTCCCAGAACAGATCCCTGAGGTACCCCTGCATTTATACCCTTAAACTGTGAGTGATAACCTTCAGTGGTGACTCTTTGCAATCTATCAGAGAGATAATTTTCAAACCATAAAAGTAAATTTCCATCAATTCCATACGTTTTAAGTTTATGTAAGAGACCTTTATGCCACACCCTATCAAAAGCTATGCTAATATCACAAAAAAAAATCTGAGCTCCTTCCCCTGGTCCATATTGCTAACAATTTCATTATAAATAAATAGTAGTTGATTAACAGTAGAATCACCTGGTTTAAAGCCAGACTGGTGCTTCATTTGATTTAGTCGTAAAATTACTGTAGTCAGAATAGATTATTTTTCAATATTAAGTTTGGGAAATGTTTCCAACTTAGTAAAACAAGTAGCAAGAGGAATAAGTATTAATTTAGAATAGTTCTATGACCCGTAATTTTCTTTTTATAGTTGTACTGGCCTCACATACCATTTTCCATGTTGAAGTTACGTATATCATTGAATTGTATTATGTTTTAAAGATGCAACGTATCTGAAATGTTTACCTAAAATCAAATTACTTAAAAATACAATGTTTTCCCACTCACTGATTGGCTTGAATGGTGTCACATGATTCTCCATAAAAAGAGATATATACCGACTGTTCAAAAAGAGCTGGCAAATCAGCTGGTTGACTAAGTGTTTCAAAAATATATCGACAAGTAATCATTATGACATTTCGAATTTTTGGATTTAAATTTTGATGTTTATCAATATGGATATGTACCAATATATTTTGAATTTGTGGTGGTCCCTTTTATTGATATTAAAAGAAACCGTTTTATTATAAAATTAATAATTCGTCCTAGGTTAATAGAGAAAACTGTTTTACCTCATCAATAGACTATAATTCTATATTAATCAAATGTATTTTGTTTCCAGTTGAACTGATGCAGTAGTGGCAGAAAGTGAGGCACAATGGGACGGCGACGGATATCTTCCTTTCGTGCAAAACCTAGGCAGTGTTTTTTTTGTTGCATACTTGTTGTCACCTTCACAGTCGGCTACTTAATGGGTTACTCAACGAATTCACTGCAAAAATATTCTACACATACGGATTTTAGGAATACAAAATTGAAACAGGTAGTTTCAAACCAGGATACGTGTGACAAACCCCGTTTAGTTCTAGGAATGTTGACACCAGCCATACATATTAACTACAGGAACGCGCAACGATCAACGTGGCTGTCTACTATTCAACGTTTACAAAACGAACTTCCATTTAAAATAACGTACAAGTTTCTAGTAGACCAATCAACAAACGAAACAATAATAGAAAACAATTATTACAACGATCTTGTATTTCTTAATGTAACAAGCCATGGACGAGCAGTTAAATTTGGGGAGAAATTGTATGTTTGGTTTAAATACATTCATGAACACTATCCTGATGCTTTGCTTGGGGCGAAAGTAGATGATGACGTATTTCTATGTGTTCCTCAGATTTTTAAAAGACTTGATCAATTGAAATCGTCAAAATTATACTATGGATGGACACATGGCGTCGGGTCACGCGTAAACATAGACACACGTATCGATGAAATGTTTGTGGTTGTTGGTAAAGACTTGCTAGAAAGAATCGCAAAACGGAAGTATTGTACCGAGAAGAAATGCAACGCAAATGAAGATCTAATTGATACAGATTTTGGCGGAACATCTTTAGGAGCATGGCTCTCGATATACGACGACATAGATTACCGGTCTGACAACAAAAGGATTATTCAATTAGGCAAAGGCAAGGAAAGAGAAATTTTGCTAAACATCAAGCCAGGCTTTTGCTCGAAATATGTCCTTAACCATAAATCGTCTGTAGAAGTAATGGAACAACTTCACGAATATAACAAACCCGGAAGTGTATCTCTTCATGATGGATTTATCGGCGCTGTGACTGGATCATTGTTTTCCGGTAAAGTGGTAAGAACATTTCTACCACAATCATTAACAAGTGAACACAAATATTTGGCTATCTTGGACGAAATGCCACCGTGCGATAACTGGGCAGTTGTAACCACGATTTTTTCTCCATCGAAAGCTGTAAAATACATAGTGTCACTTTCAAAGTGGTGCTTAGTAATAGTAGCGGACACGAAAACACCACTACAGGGTGCATACCTTCATGGACTTGGAATGAATAATGAAACCTCCAAAAGAATCAAATATCTTTCGTTGAAGGAACAGAATACCCTGTATCCTTTATTATCAGAAACTATTCCAGTCAAACACTTCGGAAGGAAAAATATAGGGTATATATATGCAATACACCACAAGGCTAAATTTATATGGGATTTTGATGATGATAATTATGGAATTTTAGATATAGATGATTTTAAACCAGATTTCCATTTGCCCCATGTCACAGTGTGCAATGATGCACAGACTCAACTCGTGAACCCCTATCCCTATTTTGGAGTAAAAGAAACATATACCTGGCCTAGGGGTTTTCCTCTTCAAGATATTAAAAACAAAACAACTCTACCTAAGCTGTGTAACTCAAGTGATTCAATTACACTTGGCATAATTCAATCATTAGCGAATCAGCAACCTGACATAGATGCTATTTATAGAATGACACGTGACGCACCATTTGACTTTAGTGCAACTAGACTATCTCATAAACCATTCGTTTTACCCAGAAATACGTATACACCATTCAACGCCCAGGCAACGTTATGGCTAGCACCAGCGTTTACTTACATGGCGTTACCTATCAGCGTAAATGGGCGTGTCAGTGACATTTGGAGAAGCTACATTGCGCAATATTACCTTCACAGAAAAAACGTTTGCTTAGCATTTTCGTCACCTTCGGTGATTCAAGAAAGAAATGCTCATAATATCTTAAGAGATTTCAATGCTGAGTTAGACTTGTATCAAAAAAGTAAACAATTGGTTGACTTTCTTGTATATGAACGTTTTAACGATAAGTTAGACTTCGTAGAGATGTATAAAACTTTATATTCCAGACAATATTTAGAACATCTCGATATTCAATTTGCTGAAGCATGGACAAAAACATTGGAAAACATCACCAAATCAGAATAAATGTCCATGCAGAAAGTGACTGGCTGAACATCTGACATTATAATTGAAATTATATATTTATAACATATGTAGTTTGAAATAGTGTTTATATATAAAATAAATGTGAATAGTTTGAAATAGTGTTAATACCTTATCTGTAAATATTGAGAAACCTGGTTGCCAGTAGGTTCTGTGTCAACGGGTATGTTTTCCTTGGGTTGCACACTAGGTTCAGTGTCACCGGTTATGGTTTCCTGGGGTTCTATAATAGGGTTCATGTTACTTGTGATGACTTCCTGGGGTTACATAGTAGGTTATTTGTCACCCGGTATAGTTTCCTAGGTTTCCAGAAAAGGGTCGGCTTCACCGGAAATGGTTTTCTGGGGTTGCACAATAGGATACGTGTCATGGGTTATGGTTGACATGGGTTCCACAATAGGTTCTGTGTCATGGGGTTTGGTTGTCATGGGTTCCACATTAGGTTATTTGGTTTCCTTGGATTGTTGCATAAATGCTGTGGTACCGGGATGGTTTCCTTGGGGTTTACGACAGGCTATGTGTCACAGGGTATGGTTTTCTGGGGTTCTTCAATAGGGTTTGCGTCACCGGTCATTGTTTCCTGATATTGCACAATATGATATGTGTCACAGGGTATAGTATCATGGAGTTCCAGAATAATGCCTATGTCACCATTATTGTTTTACTGGGATTGCACAATAGGTTTGTGATACCGGGTATGATTTTTTTGGTTCCAGAATAGGGTTCGTTTAACCGAGTATGGTTTTCTGGGGTTCAAGAATAGGGTCTGTGTTACCAGTTATGGTTTCTGTGAGTTCTACAACTCTGTCACTGGGTTTGAGTTCCTGGGGTCTGTGTCATGGGATATGGTTTCCTTGGATGGCACAATAGGATATGTGTCACCGGATATGGTTTCATGGGGTTCTTTAATCGGGTCTGTGTCATGGGTTATGATTTCCTTGGATGGCACAATAGGATGTGTGTCACCGGATATGGTTTGATGGGGTTCTTTAATCGGGTCTGTGTCATGGGTTATGATTTCCTGGGGTTGCACAATTGGTTCTGTGTCACTGGGTATTGCTTCCTGGGGTTGCAAAATAAGGTGAGTGTCACTGGGTATGGTTTCCTAGGGTTTTACGACAGGCTCTGTGTCACAATATGATATGTGTCACAGGTTATGGTGACACGGCGTTCCAGAATAGTGCCGCTGTCACCATTTTTGTTTTACTGGGATTGCACAATAGGTTTGTGATACCATGTAAAGTTTCCTAGATTTGAACAATCGGTTCTGAGTCACTGGGTATGGTTTCCTTGGAATGTACGATAGGTTTTGTGTCACCGGTAATGGTTTTCTTGGGTTCTTCAATAGAGTCTGTGTCACCGGGTATTGTTTCCTGATATTACACAATGGGATATGTATCACACAGTATGGTTTCCTGGAGTTCCAGAAAAGTATCTATGTCACCATTATGGTTTCTAGGGGTTCTAAAATAGGTCTGTGTCACCAGTTATGGTTTATATGGGTTCTACAACAGGGCCAGTGTCACTTTGTTTGAGTTCCTGGGATTCTTCAGTAGGGTCTGTGACATGGGTTATGGTTTCAATGGATTGCACAAAAGGATATTTGTCACCGGGTTTGGTTTCCTGGGGTTCCAGAATAGTGTCCCTGTCACCGGTGTGGTTTCCTATGATTGCCCTATAGTTTTTTGGGGGTTCTGTGTCACCAGATACGGTTTCCTGGGGTTCCACAATATGTTCATTTTGTAATTTGAACAAAAATTACCCAAGACAAATTCTTTGTCAATCAAATAGTGTAAATATCTATTGAGTCGACTCGAAACCGCTGACAACTCACTATGCCACGGTGTGCTCAAAAATGAAGTTAGCTGTCACGAATCATAGATATATTTCGGTCAATTGCACTCTACTACTGCAGGCATTCAAGAGGACGGTTAACATATTTACCCGTTCCTCCCCTAAGTGAACGAAGCTGCAAAGGTCATATGAGATATGATAAATACAATAACTTATCCAATTCTACCGACACATTTGAATCAAATCTTAAATGTTTGGCTTACGCATTATATAATGATTTTGGTTTGTTGGTATTTTACGTCCTATTAACAGCTATTGTCATTTAAGGAGGTGCGATGTTTTGGTTGTGGAGGAAAGCTGGGGTTCCCGTAGAGAAACAACCGAACTACGGCCAGTACCTGGCGACTGCCACACGTAGGTCTCGAACATACCATGTAAATAATTACAAGTATTTTTTGTTTTAATGGTTTTCTCAGTTTGTGAACTTAACGTTGTTGATCGTGCAGTTTATGTAACTTATTGTAATGAGCTCAATTTCGTTATTTTTTTCTGTTTTTGTATTGACGTTAATAATGTTTGTAAAATGTAATCCACTTCACAAATGTCTTTATTTGTTTCTTGTTTTGTTTTATAATAGGAGGTTTATAACATGGTTGCCAACTTTTTTTAGTTTTTGATTCAAACACACGTTCTCCGCGCTTTTCGAAGATTGCATCAAGGCCAAAACGTCAAGTTTGTGTCCCTTTCAAATGTTCGTGTCGGGGGTTAGTCTACATTCATCTGGGAGACAAATCAGACTCTGGTACAATGTTTTGTGAATACGAAGTATTGTGTCGTCCTTTCTTTTTTCTTTAAGTTAGATAACAGGGGTTTGACGAACCGGTGTACGGTGTTATGGTGGTTAAGTGAAATATCGATTTTGCGCTTTCCTTCCAAAGTATAAAGGGTTAGAGAGCGAAAAAAATCTTTGTAAGTTTGCGGTTTCTTTAAGTATTGTTGACGAGAAAATGCCCTTTGTATTCATTCATGAATACGCGATACAACCCTACTAAATGATCGTTGTTAATGAACGCAAGCGTCTCCACCAATTTATCTAGCTTGTATTAACGTTCTATCAACAGCTATGGACATTTCAGGACGGCCTCCCTTGTGTGCAAGATGCATGCGTGTAGTTTATGCGTGTGTGTTTTGGGAGGCTGCGATATGTTCATGTCTGTCTCCTTGTAATAGCGCGGAACTGTTATAGTGACTTTAGTGCTAGCTCAGTGAAACATATTCTCGAACACAACCAGCAGGACACCCCACCCGGTCACATTATACAGACAACGGGTTCTGAGTGATAAATATTAAAAATAAATAAATAAATATACAAAATTTGATATAGCGCCCTATCTAGCTAACAAGCCACTCTAAAATGCTTTACAGTACATAGATATACAATTGTATACAGTCAATACAATTATCATATATATATTAATCAATACCATATCAACATTTCGCTATGAAGAGTTGCCGTTACGTAATACGAAAACAATTGCAGCCATGATATCGTCTAAAACAATCAATCTGTATAATATTCGGATAATTGTTTTTTCGAGGATTATACCACTGTAAAGGTTATACCTGCTACACACTACATCTTGTCTAAAAGAGATTGATATTTGTCAGAAGTATACAAGATTTTCTTGGGAGGAAATAAACACAAAACGTGAGTTGACATTTCTAAAGTGAGTGTAAATTTTCCGGACACAGTCGCCCTGGATATCAAAATCCGTTGTCAAGGAATACAAAAGCGAAAGCGAGTCAGAAGTGTTAATCTACAACCGAATGTTTCGGTAGACATGTTAAACACATATATATTTGTATCTTTGTGTAGAGCGTTACAGATGAGTAACCCTCTTTCTTATAACTTAGAGCAGACGACGGGAGCGTGGTGTGTACGATAAACGATCCCTAACAAAAACATGTTTAAACTACCGTTATTGCAGGGCTGCTGGTGGACGTCACATGTGAGTTGTACGGACATGTAGTTAGGATAGACGATCATGTGCTCAGTAGGTGTGTGAATACATAGAACGATCTACACACAGGCATGCTGACAATCGAGGGCATTTAACCTAAAACTTCCGGGGAAGTGCATACAGTTACGCTGTATGATTTTAAAGAGTTATGTTCGAAATGGTGTCACCGGATAAAAAATGTGTTAAGGGGATATTTAACAGTCCCTTAACACCAGACTCTGTCTAGTCGTCTTGAAAAACTCGACCAATTGTTCAAAAAGTAAGGGATATACGAAAGAGGGTTGAAGATTATTAATAACTTTTTGACAAAATCACACATGGATTAAACGAGAGAGTGAAAAGAAAGTTCAAGCGCTTCCGACATTCTTGCTTACATGGATGGTCGGTATGATGGAGATAAACCAAAGAAATACAACTCGATTTCTATTAGTTCTGCAGGACGCGTTTTTTGGCAGTATCTCTTTACAGCCCCTCTTATACATAGGACGGTATCGTCAGTTATTGATGCTTCAAAAGTACGTTTTCATCAGAATAGAGTGAAGGATTAAACTCAATACATGACATGCTTTCACTTGAGGTGTCGGATTCGTCTAATTCATAATTCTTCGGAACTGAAATATATTTCCCGAACGTAACATAGCCACTTACACACACAAATTACTAATGGTATTAGCCAACATTCTATCTTAGTTACTTTAAAAGAAAAACTTCACACAATGTTTGCCAACAGACAGTCGTATGCGTACGTCAGCGAATAAAAAACCCATCACCGACAGCATCAACAACACGCCTTCGAGGTGTTTGGGAGGTATAGTTCCTGTAGAGTTTAGAAAAGACATTTACACGGCCACGACATATTAATCAGGTAATCAATATTATATTTAGTAACTACACAGTGTCGTCTTAATGACAGCTGTTGGTACAGTTTGAGAAGTGCTTCCTGCAACATTTTCCGAGGACAAACTTCCTGTTATTATCACAGAGGTGTGCATGATAGAATGGCCACAGTCCCAGCGACTACATTTTACCTGTACGTAATTAGTTGATATCATATCAAATTGTTTTTATATATAGTATTTCCAGATAAAACAATAGACAGACTGAGGATAGAATATACTGTAAAATTGGACATTATTGCGATGTGAAATTACGCGCAGCTTTAGCATAAATTTGCACGAGGAAATCTACTCGGAAAGAGCGCAGAGCAAAGACACATATATCATTTCGTGTGTTGCTACTTTCAATCCAATTAATGAGAGTGAGAAAATGAAGTGCATTGTTTTGAAAACAAGACGATACTATTTTATAAAATACAACCAATGAATATAACGTCTGCTAGGTATTATTTGACACGAATACCAGAAATGTTGTAACTATTGTCAAACAAGTCTTTAACTAAGTTGTGGTATATTCAGTTATATACATATTGCAATTCACTATTTAACATGTAAATAGTTTGGAGGATTCGATATCGCACAAACCGGTTTTGTTAAAAGATAATATATTTTATTTGTTTAAAGTAAACACACGTATGCATTAAAGCTTTATATTTCTGGAAATAAGAAGAAGAATAAAAAGAAAAGAAAAAAACAATTACAATAGGGATTTCCATTCTAAATGGAATCCCTAATAATCACTTGTCAGTACCCGTTCGTGTAAATAAGACATTCCAACAGCCAACCTGTTTCATATGCTTTACCGTAGAAGTGACGTAGACACTTCGCTTGTAAACTAACTGTTCGCTGAAAAACAACGCAATATGGCCAGTCGAAAGGAAATATGGAGAAGATCTTACCAGAACACATCGGACGGGAAATACGACCAAGATCATTACGGGCGTGACAAAACGGAGGGAGTTGCATTTCGAGAACGAATTTGAAAAATTAGTTGAAATGTATTGCCTTATTTATATTAACAGTACTCAATAATGACTTCGACGTCAATTTAGGATTGATGTCACAACTCTTCCATGACACTCCTTTTATATATATTTTCCGTTACGTCACATCTTATTGATACGCATCTACGTTACAGCCACACCCCAAGTCATGTGTATAACGCTGTGACGTCACACGTTGTTATGGAACAATACATTGTACACTCTTCAGTTTTCTTTGCGAATATTTTTCAAAATCGATAATATTTAGTTATTCAGGGGTCACGCACTGTTCAGACAAAGCAAGGAGGCTCAAACCATTTTGCTAGTTGTCCTTCAAGTCTGATATTTCGACTGCTTGTAACACGCTGGCTTGGCAAAAGCTTTTATTGTATAGACAATGAATACAAGGAATCAACTTGATACCGGCGAGTTTAGTCGTGCAGTCTATGAATATTTATTTGTTTATCATAGTGACAGGCGGACCCAGGTAACCGATATTGCTTTAAGTAACTATACAGTGCCGTGTTAATGACAGGCGTTGACTTTGACAAGACTCTAATGTAGTTCGAAGTACCAGTTGCAACATTTCTTGAGGACACATCTCCGGTAATTGCCACATGTAAAAGTAGCACACCTCCGGTCAGTTTACGGTACTTTTCGACCACCCAATCCAAACCGGATGATATGCTGGGTATCATAGTGATTTTAGGTAACGCCACATGTCCGTAGGAATCACCTCTGGATATCATTATCATTCTTCTTTCCAAGAGATGATATACTATCAGTACGATACATTGTAACTGTGAGTCATTTTGCTACATAAGATGACAAAACCCTTGTTGCGAAATTGGGCGCTACATTTTGAGGGACTTTGTGAAGTCACAATTCCATTACCATGCCAAAACAGGCCGTTCTATCTTCGGGTTTTCAGTGACGTCACATCTTATCAATGTGCTTACCTCAATTTATGCAAGCTCCTTTTTAAGTCGCGTAGCCACGCTGTGACGTCATTTATTGTTGTGAAAATGTCTACTTAGCATATGCTGCTCACATTTTTTAATGTGCAACGTACTGGGTATCACAGTACAGGGTGAAGTCATTGGTATCACAGTACAGGGCGACGTACTTGGTATCACATGACAGGGTGACGTACTTGGTATCACATGACAGGGTGACTTACTTGGTATCACATGACAGGGTGACGTCCTGGGTATCACAGTACTTGGGACATATTAGATATCACAGTACATGGCGACGTGCTCGGAATTACGTTACAGGGGGACCAACTTTGAATTACTGTACATAGCGACGTTCTTCGTATCACAGGACAGGGTGATGTACTGGGTATCACAGTACAGGGTGAATTCATGGGTATCACAATACAGGGCGAGGTTATTGATATCACCGTACGGGGCGAGGTTATTGATATCACGTTTCATAGGAACGTACTGGGAAATACAGTACAGGGCGACGCACTGGGTATCATGTTACAGGGGGACCTACTTCAAAATACTGTACATAGCGACGTTCTTCGTATCACAGGACAGGGTGATGTACTGGGTATCACAGTACAGGGTGAATTCATGGGTATCACAATACAGGGCGAGGTTATTGATATCACCGTACAGGGCGAGGTTATTGATATCACGTTTCATAGGAACGTACTGGGAAATACAGTACAGGGCGACGCACTGGGTATCATGTTACAGGGGGACCTACTTCGAAATACTGTACATAGCGACGTTCTTGGTATCACAGGACAGGGTGACGTACTGGGTATCACAGTACATGACGACGCACTGGGTATCACAGTACAGGAAAACGCACTGGGAATCACAGTACAGAGTGACGTCCTTGATATCAGATTACAGGGCGACTTTCTGGGTCTCATAGAATAGGGTGACGTACTGGGTATCAAAGTAAAGGGCGAGGTTATTGATATCACGGTACAGGGCGACGTACTGGGTATCACGTTTCATAGGAACGTACTGGGAATTACAGTACAGGGCGACGACGCACTGGGTATCACGTTACAGGGGGACCTACTTCGAACTACTGTACATAGCGACGTTCTTGGTATCACAGGACAGGGTGACGTACTGGGTACCACAGTACATGGCGACGTGCTGGGTAACACAGTTCATGGCGATGTACTGGGTAATACTGTACAGGGCCACCTGCTGGGTATCACAGTACAGGAAAACGCACTGGGAATCACAGTACAGAGTGACGTCCTTGATATCAGATTACAGGGCGACTTTCTGGGTCTCATAGAATAGGGTGACGTACTGGGTATCAAAGTAAAGGGCGAGGTTATTGATATCACGGTACAGGGCGACGTACTGGGTATCACGTTTCATAGGAACGTACTGGGAATTACAGTACAGGGCGACGACGCACTGGGAATCACGTTACAGGGGGACCTACTTCGAACTACTGTACATAGCGACGTTCTTGGTATCACAGGACAGGGGGACGTACTGGGTACCACAGGACATGGCGACGTGCTGGGTAACACAGTTCATGGCGATGTACTGGGTACTACTGTACAGGGCCACCTGCTGGGTATCACAGAACAGGTTGACGTATTGGGTATCACATTACTTGGGACATATTAGATATCACGTAACAGGGCACCGTAATAGGTATCACAGGACAGGACGACATACTGGGTATCACAGTACAGGGCGATGTACTGGGTATATCACAGTACAGGGCGACATGCTGGGTATCACAGTACAGGGCGACATGTAACTGTTAAGAATACTTGTAACATTTCAGATTTAAACTGTTATTCTGTATTATTTGTAACGGTTCATATTTAACATGTTATTCCATATCAGTTGTAGTAGTTCATGGATTTTGTTCAATAGTTGTTATGAATTCGGATTGTTATTTTTGTCATCTTTCACATATTTGTTACTGTGTTCATGTTTATTTTATAGCCGTGATTCCTTCGTGATTTTCTGATTGATAAATCAAGACATGATACTTAAGATGACGTCTTGTGCAATCTTATTTTTATGTTTATTTGTTTATCATTTATCTATTTTTCTATTATGTCACCTGAGCTTTAGCTCAAGTGACCTATTGCTACCCGTCTTCGTGCGTCGTCGTGCGTTAACTGTTTACATTTTCAACTTCAGCTGATATACTGTCGAAGGAAATTCATTGAAACTTAATGTTACTGACATCTCCCTGACCAAGTGTTGTTATTTTTCGGGTCGATCAGAAATCAAATATGGCCGTCACAGCTGCCATTTTGAAAACTTTTTATTAAGTCAAGTTCTACTGGGCCAATTAAACTGAAACTTGGTAGGAATGATCGACTAATGGTCCTGACGATTTTTCAGGGTCAATCAGAAATCCAATATGGCCGCCACAGCCGCCATTTAAAAAAAAAAAACATTTGAAACTTAAAGTTGAGTTCTACTTGGCTGTTTTTTTGAAACTTGGTTGGAATGATTTACTCATGGTCCCGAAAAAATGTTGTTATGTTGTTGGGTCGATCAAAAATCCATGTACATGTATTCATTTTTGTGATTGCAAATTTTAAATTTATGTTTGGCCCTAAATGACTCGCATTGCCGATGGGCCATGAAACAATACACAAAACAAATCAAAACGAGTCTGATCAGCAATTAGGCAAATGGTAACAACTGATTCATCCGTATAATGGGCGGAATGCTTTACAGGGTGTCTTAGTCATGCGATTTGATTGAGATAGACTAATAAAGTCGGCTTCAGATCTGCAATATCGCAAGGCCGCAAATACCCCAACATACCCTGCCTGCAGCACACATATACACCGGCACGCATGCATTACACACATGGTTGCACTTCTATAAATAGCATTAGCTGTAGAAGTTAAACTCAATTAATCTTAATAAAAAACAAACCATTAGTTTTAACAACGTGTTATGGAGATCATCATTACACAGATATAAGTTAACACGGATGTTCAAATGTATTCTCGGCGAATCAATACATGCTATGATATGCACAACTTAATTTTCTAATCAGGATCAATGTGCCAAAAATAGCACAAACAAACCAAACCGTCCACGTGACAAATGTAAATATGTCACGTTATGTAGGGCATACATATGCTTATTCCCAGGCAAGCCCTAAGTTCACAGTCAGCGGTCTACATCAAGGCGTCTTGCCACTTCGTGTCCTATAACCAAGATGTCAAGTTCGATTTTATCTGCAGTCTTTCTGCTTTCTTTTGTTTGCAGCGGACTTGCTACAGGTTAGTGTTCTAAATACATTTACACATTTGAACGGGTTTATAATAAAAAAAAACAAAAAACATTACGATGTAAACACACAAACGAATTGGATTCGTTTACCTATTCCGTATAATAAAACATATTTTAGTTTTAAAACAGATTTATTATTTCGATATCACGTCTATTTCTGATTTGTATGCATGCACGTATTCAACAGATATAACAAGAATGGAAGAAGCATTTGTATTTTTTATTGAAATAATTCGCATTTGTTTCCAGTATATAAAGGCTATTTTATCTTACTTTAACTAATACTAAAAATATTTGCTTTAAAATTTATCTAGCATTCAATTTGTGTATTTGTCATTATTGTCCGGTTGAAGGTAACTCACAAATCATAATAAGTTTTTCTTGATGTTATTGTATGTTTGTTGTCACGTTCCTACTGCCCCACCCCTGCAAGTTTAGTGTTGACAAAATAAACTACCTGCTGCTACCAATTGCGATTATTAAAGAACCTTTATAAGAACCAGTGGCCGTGTTAGGGATATGCTGTTGTGCCGTCTTCTTTGGAGACACAAAAGCAATCAAACTTAATCTGCTTCGCCCTCTACAAGTTTTTGGATATCTTTATTTTCTTTCTATTTTCTTAAGCCCCTTACTGTTTCCTAACGGCCCTTTTGGCTCACTCATGACCTCAATGTTGAATATTTGCCCCCAAATGTGTCAATGCGTTTCTTTCTAAGGTGGGGACATACCTAAATCTTAATAAACTGTAGCTTTCACTACCCGCGTAAAGTTCAGGAAAATTCGCAATAACAGCATTTGGATAACCCATTATTAATATTAAGTGACTAGTGAATACTCTGTTAGGTGCCTCCTTCGGATTGGTATTTCATAGAAACAGCACTTTAAAAGTGGCATCAGATCCCCGATCTCGCAAAAACGATCACGTCGTAATGACAATCCCTACCTGTATGATTTTCTCGGCGTCTGTGACTTCCAAAACATCATGGATATATATTGTTTGCCCAGGCGTGCCCTGAATGCTTTGGAGTATACCTAGGGTATATCGTTTCTTTTTATGATCTTTCCGAATATTGCTTATACTTTTACATGCTATCTATTCCGTCTTTGCGAATTGCAGAGTTATCTTCTCTTGAGAGCAGGTATTGATTGTTACGTCATTGGTTTGTGTGAGAAAATTACGTCGTTTTCTCAAAAATGATGACGTTACTCTCAAAAACAAATGACGTAACAATCAATCCCTGCCCTCAAGAGAAGATAACTCTGCAATACGCAAAGACGAAATATCGTTTTTTATATCTATTGACTACATCTTTCTAAAAAAATCATTTCAGATTGAGGAAAAGAGAAAGTTGTTATGTAGCTGTATGTGATGCTGAAATTCTACCCTTGTAAATGTGACATTTGGTGTAAAATATGCGGCTCTGATAAAAACACTCTCTAACCATTTCTAACAAACCTACCGAAATCAAATTATATTTTTGTACACTTTTACAAAATTTACTTTTATTTGTCTCGTGCTTTACTTTATTCTTCCACACGTGCATTTGACTTTTCTTGTCACGATATTTCATTGAACATTTGACCAGGATGAAGCCCTTTTCAACTAGATGAGCTTGAAGTCTTTTTTTTTTTTTTCCCCCTTGCAATAAAAGTGCAAAATCACTGTGCATCTATTAAGTTTTAGATATGAAACCGTACCCATTCAAACTCCATACCTAAATAGATATATATGGCTGAGATTTGTCAAAACCATGATCACAGACATGCATTTCGCGCACATCTCACATACCGTGTAAAGTAGTGAGATTCTAAAATTTTGAGGAAACTAAACCACAGCGTTAACCAAAAATAAATCAATAAAATTGAAAATTTATAAAAAAAAAAAAAAAAAAAAAAAAAAGATATCAGTTTGTCTCTTTTGTTACATATTTTAATAACTTTGCTGTTCAAATATTAACTGAAATATTTCAGTAAGGTGACAATTTGTGCTCTATCTATTAAAGTATGTGTGAACAGCTATCACGGCCGCTGTGTAGACATTTCTCATGGTTGTAACTCGGGCGAGAGCTACAGCCTAAATTACTGTGGATTCCTAGAGATGTGTTGTCTCTCTCCTTCCGGTTCCGGTAGCGGAAGTAGTTCCAATGGAACCTCTTCTGGCAGTTCTCATGGGGTCAGTGGTGGTATGTATTTTTTTGTCTTACACACTTGTAAATCCCCTGCAGAATTGGGGATTTACTTTGATGCCCTCTCTTTGGGAAGAAAAAGCGACCAAAATAGATATGCTGCACCCATTGCATCATTGCGGATCTTTTTATTTATCTCTCTTTTTTAACTAACCTATTTTCCTATTGCCTTGCTTGGCAACGCCTCATTTTTCGCTTTAACGTTAAACGTTCGCCCAGGTGAGGATGGCAATAGATTCTGTCCCCAGGCTAGGACAAAAAATATCCAAAGTCCTTAACAATGGTAGCTGTTACAAACATGCACGCGTACACAGCTTACATAGAGGTGCGACCTTAAATGGCTGTATCTGTTAACAGGGCGTTACAAAATATAAAAACAAACCAAACCATCCTCGTATCCGGCTTTGTTTGTTTGTTTGTTTGTTTTGGGGTTTATTTCTGCGCATCAGCTGATTGCTTATGCACACGGATGTCTATGGTTACAGTGCTGAAAGGAAGCTAGACTCAAGGTGTTGCCCAGATGTAGCAGATCAATGTTGGTCTCTTCACAATCAGCTTTGTAAAATATACGGAAGAATACTCTTATTTTTGCAGGAAACGTCATAATAATCACTCCTTACGACAAATAGCTGAAAACAGCACGTTTTTGTATTTCCTTGAACACGCGCAGGTCTCTTCTTAAAACAATAACCATTAACTCGGCGTGTATATTTATAAGAATAAAACATAAATACAAAAATGGCAATGTTGATAATAACCTGTCTTTGTTATCAATATCAAGCATTGTGCTCGCGCTATTGACTCTATTAATTTGGTGTTAATCTTGGCAGTATAAAATATGACCGGTTTGACTGTCATTCTATCGTGTCAAAAGATGAGTATGTCACCTATGAGCCTTTTAAATGGTCCTATATTTCGTTGACGCAGTCATTATTTGTTTTAGTTTTTGCAGTAAAGTATACCATCCTAAGGAGGAAATAGATTTCACAAATATACAATCAACCTGTAGATTAATCAATGAAAATTATCAAACAAATACCTGTTTATTCAATGCTTTAAGAGAAAACCGATAGTACTTATCTTATAAATCATTTTTTTACCGACATCGTCACATCTTAAGATCATACTCAAATTAATCCTGTCATTGAAGGTATACTGTATTCTTACGTTGTTTTGGTGTTTACGGTGTATTTCTGTTATCAATCATTGAATATCGTGGTTGAAATCCGGTTGTGTTAAGAATATTTTAAATTTTAACAGTTTTTGTTTTTTAAAGAAAGGTAGACAATTCAACAGAATTATACATGGGGTGGTAACATGCCTTGTCATAATTGCATGTTATGATGTCTTTGCTGATATTCGAATCCGTTTGTATATAAATTACAGTCGAACCTCGTTATCTCGAAGTCGACGGGATCGTTGGGAAACTTCGAGTTATCTGAGTATTCGAGTTAAGCGAGTTCTTATTTTTGGCATAAAGATTGGTACAATATGAGGCTATATATGTCATTGATTTCTCTGACAATCAACGTATTTAAACAGTCGGATAAATGACAAAAGGATAACTATATAAAATAAAAAATAACAACTTATTCATAATCATATTCTTTAATTAATTAATGTTACTCTTACTGTGGAGCTTATTTCCGCATGACCGTACACTGTGACACATTTTCCGGTTAGAATGTGTCGGCAGCTTTGATGTAAATAAAGTGCCATTCAAATTGTTTACGGGCTTGCAGTGAGAACTAATTGTTGTTAATCAACATTGATGAAGTTTGTACAGTCAAGCACAATTTTAATGCCATAAGTTTAATAGAAGTAAATATGACCGAGCGTAAGCTGCTCTATGAGAACGATGTTTACCGTAGCACTGCGTCTAATATGTATCAAATAATTAAAGAATATATAATAGACTTGTAAATCTTAAGAAACTTCGAGGTAGGAGATATTTTTTATATCTTTTTTTTTTATATGGAATTAACGTTCTTGGGACCTATGATTGACTTCGGGATATCCGAGTTTTTTCGAGGTTTCATAGTTCGAATTATCAGAGTTTTTATTACTAAGATCACGGACTTAGAATCTAATTCCATGCTAAGATTAAGAAGAGTTTTGGCCAGGACCGATGAAATACCTCGAGTTCAACGGGGTCTTCGAGTTATACGAGTTCGAGATGATGAGGTTCGACTGTTTATGAGATTTATGATTTTTTGTTAGGCAAAGCTAATTGTTTTCTCTATTGATATTTTTAAATCTGTCATTTTTGATCCTGAATACTAAATCAAATATAATACAGCAAACGAACATGTTTAAGCTGCTTCCGCATTTAACAATGATGCTAGTTTTGGTCTCAGCTCATGCTATATATGTATATATTCGGTCAATTTTTACAATTTGCGATATTGGTATATACATATATGTATATTAGACACAATATGTGTCTCTTAAGTTCTTGTATGCATCATGAGAATGTATGCTTTGCATGACATTTACTCAACTTACTAGTTTTATAATTACACATTTTACTTTACTGTATTGTATGTGTGCATGTATGCTACATTTGTATGTATCGTTTTCCTCACTCATGTTGTTAATATTGTATAGTTTATGTCGACCATATATGAGATGAGTTCTTGACTCAATGTGCTGTCGAATTTAAATTTAGTCTGTTATTATTATTGTTACTACCATGTTGTACTCTATTACACACTTGTTAAAATTTAAATGATATGCTAAAATATTAGTGAGCTAACATATGAATGTTTATAGCATAGTTGTACTGTGTAGATGTTTATCAATAAAAGTGCAAAGATTTATTCTTAAAATTTTTTCTTCGCGGCAAAAAAGTAAAGTTTTCTTCAATTTTGAAATTGGTTAAAACAAAAAAATATTATAACTTAAAACATTTTTTTTTTATAACTTAAAACTTAATAAGTGTTTCATCTGTGAATTTCGTCTACCGTGTATCACTTTGACTAACCTATGTAGTGTATTGTAGCCACCTGTGGAACAAGCAATATCGGGTCCACTCACACCAACAAGATTGTCGGAGGAACCAACGCCCAACACGGGGAGTTCCCCTGGCAGGTAAATGTATACCAATAACATATTAAAAATCCACGCATGCATTACACACAAGGAGACACGTACTTAAAATGCCATAGCTGTTAATAGGACACACAATCGAATAAAACCAACCCAAAACATGTAACTAAGATAATGGTTTTAAAACGTTGACCGGAGCTTACCTGAGACGTATTCTATTGCGTACGTTCAAGAAGTTTGAATTTGAAAACTATCTCTTATCAGTACACGTTTGATAGTTTCATGTTTGAGTTATCGCGTGTGAGTATAGTATGTAAGGTTAATGAGACAAGGCAGGTCCCGAGATAATATTTAAGTTTCTGCTGTGCTTGTCACTTACATGCAATGTTCCCCATTGAAGTTTCTGGTTAGCACATAAATACACAAGCAAACAAGTTTTCGTTTTTTTTCAGTACGAATATATATTTGTCTTACTAGGACGAACGTCTTGTGCACTTAACGTTAAAACGGACTTTTACACGTCCGATACTTTAAATTTAAAAAACAAATACATTTTAATTAGACAAAATATAGAACTGCACTCAATGCCCACAAGTCCTCTGTATCATGACCTAATGAGGTTTATACCCCTTAACGCCCCCAAGTCCTCTGTATCATGTCCTAATGAGGTTTATACCTCTTAACGCCACCAAGTCCTCTGTAGCATGTCCTAATGAGGTTTATACCCCTTAACGCCCCCAAGTCCTCT